CCAGCAACTTTCTAGAAGGAAATTAACAGCTGGAATGTGTCACCAAGGAGGATGGTAGAGGGCAGGATTTCCTGGTGGGAGCAGCTTGATGCTATAATGGAAAGAAGGGAGGGTGGGGATTCTGGAAAAATTAGATCGAATGAGCTGAAGAGCCCTCTTCATCGGTACCTCTTCAGTGATCTTGTTCCTATGTTTAAGAACAGTAGGAAGATGGTGCTGTAGAGTGACTTCCATCAATTCATCTTAGAAGCAGCAGATTTTAAAACAAAATTGACACAGATAATAATAATAATAATAATGATGATCCTTACATTTGATATAGTGCCTTATGATATCTTCAAGATATCTCAAAACGCTTCACAGAATAAACTGTAAAACTGTGTTTTGTGGGTGAACTTTAAATGTAAGTACGTATTAAACCCTGATGGGACTACACTTGCACAGAAAATGGATAGCAATCAACATCTGAAAGAGAAACCTAAATTATAGTTTTAATGGGACCCTACCCCGGTATGCAAGGGTTTGTGATAAAGTATCACAGTTGAAATATTTTGCTTTCAGACGCTGATTGGACTGTTGTGCATTTCCAGTATTTTCTGTTTTTTCTCTCTCTGACCTTTAGCATTAGCAGTTTTTCTTTATATCTCAAGAGAAATGTCATTCCTGATCAAACAAATGCACAGAGTGATAAACTAAACTATATATCACGATCCGTGCTTATCTATTTCCATGAACTACAATACATACACTCAACAAGGACCATCTATTCAACTCAAAAGTCAGACTCCTACACGTCCAAGGTTATCTTCATCAGACGTGTTCTACTTTGTGCACTCGGTGGGCTGTACCATATATCAATGCATCAAATGCTTAGATATTCACTGCATGGGGGAATTAAAGAACATCTAACATCCTACCTAAATCCACACAATTATCCGAACAAGAAGACCTCAGCACAATGAAAGAATTGTAAGACTGCTTTACTGCCCGTAAATGAGAATAATACAGGAATTTAAGATGATGGCTTTCATCGCAAGAAAAATAAATATCAATACAAATGTTAACACTTTGTGGCATAATATTGAAAACACATTTCATTCCCATTCCCATTTTACCTCTTCTTAGGTAATCTCTTATGTTTTATTTCTGATATTGTTTTCAGTTTCTTAGCTGAGCTTCTTTATAATCATACCTTTGCCTCCACAAATTTGGTAGTTGAGGGCTACTTGGCACAATCTTCTGTACTTAAGTGCTGAATATCTCTCTTGCTCGCTCGTTCCCTCTCTCTGAATAGCCTCCTGACTACAATTGGCAGCTGTACTTATTTGTACCCAATCGGTCTAGCTAACATGATAAGCTGTTTCATTTGCACTCCAGTCTGCAACAGGGCAGCTCTGAAATTAGTCTTAAATTTATGCAAGCACAATAAATATGCATGAAATCTTGAGATCCTGTTGTGAATGCATGTGCTGATATTAAACATGTTGACACTGGCCATTTCAATCTAGCAGGTGAGATGTATTGCAGCAGGATAGCTTTCATTAGGAGCTTTCTGCACTGTACGCACCATTTACCAAATTAATTGATGAGGGTTAACCATTATTTTACTTTGTTCATTAAGTTTAGCAAATCTGTGCACAGTGCAGTTTTTAAAAGTCTAATTTAATTTTACATTTATAATTTCATGCTATTTATAATGAAAAAAGGAATTTATAAGCACACAGGGATGAACTTACTGAATTCAATTTACCAAATGGAGGAGAATATTACTTAGTGCAAATTTACTGCATAGAGTTCACAAAGTACGAGTAGAATAATCCCATAATGACAAAGCTTGTTTATACCATCATTGATTATTTACTCTTTCCTATTTCCAGTTCAATATGCTACTATAGATGACGTAATGGCTCAGTTTGTTGGTGGTAAGTGAGGTTGGACCTGTGATTCCTTATACGGTATGAGGTTTTTGTAAGGATTTACATCTTCTCAAACTCAGCTACACACTCTGGAGGAGCCCTGTTATATTACTGCATTATATGTCTCCTAATCTTCCCTCTCCAAGTTCAACATTGGGATCTGTATTAGATCCGGGTTTCTCACATTAACTGACTTAACAATCGCAGCCTTATTGAAACAATTAGAATTGAGATCAGGAAGCATTTCATCTCACAAAGGGATGTGAGGATGTGGAATGCTCTGTCCCAGAGAGTGGTAGAGTTGGAATAAATAGGAATGTTTAAAAGAGAGTGAAATCTTTCTGGGTTATAGAGCTATTAAGCAGAATGATAAAAGGGTGGGGAATTGGGAATTAACATTCTGCCAAAATCAAATAAACTAGTGAAACAAGCTTGAATCGCTTAATGACCTTCTGTTCCTGTTTTTCTATTTTCCTATCAACTTTCCTTTTGACTGCCAATTGTGCACAGCAGTGTCCCACAAACCATCATGGACTGAGTGACCAATTTTTTTTGTGAATTATTACCCCCGGAAAAGCAATCCACTAGTTGAATAAAAAACAGGTTCCCACTTACTGTTAGGTAACCAGAGGTGTGTGGTGTAAGCCCAACATTTCACCTTGCTGGGAATCAAATCCAGGTCTCTCACTTGCGAGATGATGTATGCATACTGCATCGTAAATATCTAAGACACAATATAGGGAATAATGCTATATATAAGAGACAGCAAAATTGATTCAAAAGAAAGTGTCACACTTGTGTTATCCAGATTATTATTTTGTGAAACATGAGTGGTGAAACAAGTTTGTTTAATACATTTACATTTGTAAAGGTCAAAGCTCTTATTCTGGCACTAAAATGTTCATTATGTATATTCACTTCAAAACTATATTGTAAAGAAGCTCTTATTTTTGAACATTTTACAGAAAGATTTCCAGAATTACACATTTAAGGGTGTAGGACCCATGCACTTTACAGGGTAGAACAATCCAATGTATCTCACTTACGTATTCCACTTTACAGAATATATGCTGTAAAGTGAAAATTGTACTTCCAAAAATAATACTTCATCATCTTGCATCATTTCTGTGGATATCTCACTGGTATTATGTGAAAAAAGCATTGCAGCCACTCGGGGCAGGTTGAAAACATAAAATACCAAGAGTGGGGGGGGGGTAGAAGTGACTAGAAAGTTTAGATATAACGGCTTTATGCAAAAGATGGTTGATGTATAGAACATTTTTTTCCCCGGGTAAATAGTATGAGAGATAGCTTCCAGAGGGAATGGGAAATGTTTTCATGACATTGAAAGTTGATGCAGGTGGGGAGTGGGGGGATATAAAATGGGGTGAGATGGTATTTGAAAGTGAGAAACCACTGGTAATGGTGTTTTGCAATCTACACATTCTCACCTTTCTTTTACACTTTTCAAGAGATACAAAACGAAAAGGATAAACAATTGCTGTTGGGAATCCAGCGCATGTTTACAGTAATATTTTGTTTACACACAGAACTTGGCTTTGTATTGAAGTTGAGGAGTGTTTTAAAATAGCATGGCACATTTTGGGGCACTATCCCACTCTGAAAATGAGCAATGAAAGCTTTGCTGGCAACATTCATCCTGTCTACAAAGGCTGCCATTGAAGAAGTAAAACGTTACCTAACCACCAGATAGCTTAAACAGTTATAGGTAATACTGTAGCAGATATGAGGGAAATAGTCTAATTATAATTTTATAATCTTCCCGGGATATCTATTTTAATAGCGTGAAGATAAAGTTTCAATAGTAATAATTCTTACAATTAATAATTAAAAGGCTGTGAGGATTTAGATGAAGAAACCACCGATTAGATTTTTCACTTCTACAATAGGCTTACATTGAATAGCCAAGATGCAATTCAGACTAATGATACAGTGATTGAGAAATGAATCTGAACACCTTTAAGAATTAAGTGCACGAGAATTATGATTGATACATTTTTATTTGAATATTTGATTTTGTCAGTAGATTATAGGTGCTGACTGCTGAGAATTATAAGGGAATTGAATTAGCTTGAACAGTTGAAATGAGATCACTGCAGCAACCTGAATTAATGACTAAATTTACTGATCTAAAATTCATCACATTGTGTACTCAACCTGTAGAAATCCTTCCAAAGAATTTTTGATGATAACAGCTATCTGATTTTAAAATACAGAAATATACAGAATAAATATATTTAATTCAAAATGGAACCATTATTTGTAACTAATTGTTGAAACAAGTACATTTGTGTTTGATATACTGTAGTATAGTGCATTACCATGTTGTAACATCAATGAGTGCTTCATGCATAATTAATTAATGATTTATCCCCTCTTCTCCTCAAGGAATTTGACTCATTTCCCTTTAAACTGGAGTATGATTCCATGGGAACCCTCCAGTAGTTTGCCCAAACGCCCATCGTTCAAGACTAAGCCTTGAGAGTGAGCTTCAGTGAACTATTTGAGCACTCATTGCCGAGCTTGTTCCAGATCTCACCTATTTTTTCACATCAGTGCACCTTTCAGCAAGGAGTACTTGGCAGTGGTGCAGACATTATGAGTAATTCCCCCTCCTTAAACCCCAGATGCTGAAGCCAGTGGTAGTGGCTCAGCTGTTGTCCTGCTGAGATCATCTAACTGGAAACCAGAACCTGAAATTTCGCTTTTCAGATTTGCTTGCACTTTTCACCCATTTAAATAGAGCCATTTAGTTATTGCCACAATTAGTTAATTTGAATCATGGTAAAAAGCTGTTGTTTTTTTTAAAAAAATGAGACCAGGGTCATGGGCTCAAACATTCTTCCTGGTAATCTGTTCCAGTCAATGACTTCCTGAAGTCTGCCCTGAAATTGTCCCCTGCAACACTAAACCTGTGTCCTCTTGTCCTATTTTCTTGCCAAAACAGGACAGTTAATCTGTTTCGGGGGTCTTCCACAAACACAAACGATACGAATGAGCAATTCGTTGTGTTGCATTCCTGGTGGAAGAGGAATATTGAAACAAATACGACTGCCAGAAGTTTCAAAAGAAAGTTTCCACCACTTTACGAAGACAATGCGAAGTCGCTCCTGGGGTTGATTTTAAATCACTTGCAGCATATCCGAGGGTCAACCTTTCGCGTCTCTCTCCGTCCTCAGCAGGTGCTGGTCCCCAGTCCTCAGCAGGTGAGGGTCCCCAGTCCTCAGCAGGTGAGGGTCCCCAGTCCTCAGCAGGTGAGGGTCCCCAGTCCTCAGCAGGTGAGGGTCCCCAGTCCTCAGCAGGTGAGGGTCCCCAGTCCTCAGCAGGTGAGGGTCCCCAGTCCTCAGCAGGTGAGGGTCCCCAGTCCTCAGCAGGTGAGGGTCCCCAGTCCTCAGCAGGTGAGGGTCCCCAGTCCTCAGCAGGTGAGGGTCCCCAGTCCTCAGCAGGTGAGGGTCCCCAGTCCTCAGCAGGTGAGGGTCCCCAGTCCTCAGCAGGTGAGGGTCCCCAGTCCTCAGCAGGTGAGGGTCCCCATTGCACAGAAAAAAAAAAACCCAAATGGAAAGGTCCGAGTTTCGATGCGTTGCGACGCTGACACACGAAGCGAGTCTCAAACGGAGAGCGTATCGGCGCCGTACGTCGCGGTGTTGCAGCCGTGACCTTCGAGCGCCCGGTGCTCGAATAGAGTCGGCGACTGTAAATGCTGCGTCCGCCCGTGAACCGCGCCCGCGTCGATAGGTCCCGCGGGCGTGATGGGCGTGATGGTGTCCAGGGTGATCTCCGCATCGCACTCGAACTGAGCCCCTGCCGGGAGCAGCAGGTTCCTGCCATCCCTGGGGGTGGGGGGCGACGAGATGCCCGAGGCTTTGCCGAAGGGGGGCTCGGGTACCCGGGGCTCTCCGGCCGGGTGGGGCAGCTGGTTGGGGAGACTGGCGGCGTTGGCGTCCTTCTGCAACGTGGTGTCGTGGTGGTAGGACACCAGCTCGTTGCTGAAATTGACAGCCTCCACCGAGTTACTGGGGCAGAAGCGGGCGCAGCCCAGGATGGTGGCGAAAGCCTTCCTGAAATCCGCGTTGAAGGCGTAGATGACGGGGTTGAGGGACGAGTTGGCCCAACCGAACCACACGAAGATGTTGAAGGTGGTCTCGCTGACGCAGGGCAGCTCCCCGTCCTGGTCCAGGCCGGGCTCACAGAAAGGCACCAGGCAGTTCACCACGAAGAAGGGGAGCCAACAAAACACGAACACCCCCATGATGATGGACAGGGTCTTCAGGACCTTGGTTTCTTTCTTGAAAGAGGTCTTGAGCGCCGCTTCGTGCGGGCAATCTGCGGGCTGGTCCTGGCAGTTCTGGGCGTGTTCCACCGCTCTCTCCAAACTCGAGATCCTCCGGATCTGGGTCTGGGCAATGCGGTAAATGCGGGTGTAGGTCCCCACCATGATCGCCACCGGGATGTAGAAGCTGATCAGGGAGGAGGAGATGGCGTAGGTTCGGCTCAGGTTGGAGTCGCAACTCCGCGTGGCGTTGCGGTCCTCGCCCTCCAGCTCTCTGAGCAGATCTGCCTCGGTTTTGTGCCAGTTCAGCTGCACGGGGATGAAGGAGATGAGGATGGACAGGGTCCAGGCCACCCCGATCATGACGAAAGCCACCCTCTGGGTCATCTTGCGCTCGTACCTGAAGGGGCTGGCGATGGCCCAGTACCTGTCCAGGCTGATGATGCACAGGTTGAGGATGGAGGCGGTGGAGCACATGATATCAAAAGCGATCCAGGTGTCACAGAAGGAGCCGAAGAGCCAGCGGCCCGCCACCTCGGTCACCGCTTTCCAGGGCATCACCAGCACCGCCACGAAGAGATCGGACACGGCCAGCGAGATGACGAAAAAGTTGGTGACTTTGGACCGCAGGTGGCGGAACTTGATGACAGCCGAGCAGACCAGGGTGTTGCCCAGGAGGGTTGAGACGATGAGGAGGAAGAGCAGGAAGCCAGTCACCCCGCGGAGAGTCGGGTCCGCGCTCACACCTCCACCCGCTCCGGTGATCTGCGTCGCGTTCAGCGGGTTTTCCATGGGGAGCTCTGCCAAAGGCAGAATCCACTCGTCCGAGTTGGTGGTACGGGAAAGGGTTTCAGAAGCTCGGGATGCGCCACGTGAATCCACATTCGGCCGAGTCCTCGATCCGGATTGAGGCAAAATGCATGTTCAGCTCTCCGGCGTTAACGTCCTGAGCGCATCACACCAGTGCAGCCCAGAACCTGCGCCATCCACCAGCCATGGAGTCAGGAATAAGGTGCCATCCCCTTCACTATATGCTGCCCCCTGGAGCTGTGGGCTTTATACCACCAGCCGATTGGCTTCTGTCTTCTTTAACGCAAATGTATTCATTTCTGAATGACGGAGGTATTTTTCGCTGAAGGCTTACCGTGGTCAGTTTTTTTTTAATTAAAAAAAAACCTCCTAGAAAATAGCCAAACCATTTCAGAAGAAACTTAACGGTATAGAGCCACACTGTTTCTACGTGGATTCCACGTGCTAACGTTGTGATTCTTAACACGAATGATGCTTCCCTTGATAATAAGTCGTGGCTCAGTGAATTCATTGCGTGGTCAAAGCTTCTTAAAAGCATAAAACGGTGTGTCATTTCCAAAATCCGTTTGATTATTTTTGCCCTTAAATTTCTTATGATGAAGACTTGCGCTCACTCTTCCCCCTAAAGCCAATGCAGTTTATAGAGATGTCAAGAACCAGCCTCTGCTCTGCAACAGTGAACTATGAAATGAACATAGTACAATTACTTCTTACAATCACATCATTTGTTTTTCTTTCCAAAGTGACCCAGACATCTTCGTCAAGTGCCTCACGCCTCCCACATGTACAACCTGGGGTTTGTTCCATCTTAAATAGTCTCCAGAAATCAATCAGCTGATAAGCTGTGAGCCATACGTGTCAAACCAACTACCCTTAAAGGGTGAGGTTCTGTCGGAATCAACAAGGCACAAAATCACGAAACTAAAAATAAAAATAATAGTATTTCGACTTGCCACACGCCTGAAAGTTCATCAAACCATCCTTTTACCCGAAAATAATACCAGTACCAATCAAGGCACGCATCCGTCTATTGGGACTGTGCAAGCACATTTGATGGAATATATTGAGAGAGATTAGCTGTCCTTCGAAATCCGCTTGTTAGACAGATGTGTGATGTGATGTGTGATCTTGGAGCGACTGTAACGCTGGGAATTCCGCACAGACAGAACAGATCCGGCATCTGGTATATTGAGGCTGCAGAGAATATGCAGATGGTTTAATAATCTCGTTTAGATGTAGGTTATTATCGTGGAGCTCGGAAAACAGGAAGATTGACGGAAAACAAAGTGCTGCCGGTGAGACGTTGAATCTTTTACAGTTCTTTATTGTCGGGCGTGTACAACACCTCACCGGCTGCCGGATGATGCTGTCTGCAGCCCTGGGGAGGGTGATGGCTGTTCATGGTTCCCACATCAATGCAATACATTGCAAAAATACAAATACAGCGATGGGCACTGCAGTTTTGATTAAATTACAGCTTTTAATCCCCGTTTTTTACAAGGTACGTCAATTTGCAATACTCGGTACGAGCAGTGGTCGCGGACTAGGACAGTGTCATACAGAATGCATTTTTTTTCAACCCAAATCGAGCCGAAAAGGTGAGTTAAAAGAGAAAACCCTGCCACGGTGGCTTGGAAACACGGTATTTTTTTTTTTAAAAAATCAGTAAATCACACACAAAAAAATTGATATGCACTGAAGTTATATTAGCAAGAAGGTCGTGTTGTGTGGATATTGCCCATAAATCTGCTACAGAAATTAAGCTTGAGAAAGAGATTGTTCGGAGTGTTTATATGGTGTTGATTCACTGGGCTGCAAGCTGCACCCACACAGCAGGCAGCTAAAATCTTCCCCTCTTTGTTATTTTCTGATAGCTTTGAGAACTTTTTTTTTTGTTTCGGTCTGTGCAGTCAGTGCTTGGTGCTCGCCGTATTATGGGGAGCTTTCGGCGAGGCATTTACTTATCGATACTTAACCACACGCCTTCTCGCCCATTAAACTCCAGCTTTTTTTCGTGTTGTCTCACCTGATTTCCAAAGGAGCATCTGTTTTATATATGCATTTTTTTTTCTTCTGCAGAGCTGCACCAAACCGCTGAAATTGTCCTTCCACACTTACTAAAGTTTTCCCTGTAAAGGACGACAGCTCAGCACATCAGCTCTGTATTAGAAAATGTTGCATGTTCACAAAGTCTGCAGCAGGTACTTTAATTTTTCTGGTTGGTGTAAAAAACGAATCATCGGGATAAACTTTGGGCCTGATGGTAAAACCAATCTGTGTTGCGGTTTAACATCATACAGAATTATGCATTCAGTTTTAATTTGAACACCTTTATTCATAACTGTGGAAAACTAGCTTCCATTTAAGAATAAATTGAAGATCTCTTCCACCTTCGGGTCCAGCCTTAAAATTTAAGACAACATTGTTTTCTACGCAGGAATCGTGGGCTTTTGCTCGAATACTTCCAGCTTCCAAACATAAATAGCAGTTTTAAACTGTTAAAACATCTCAAAGTGTTTCGCAGAAATTTGCTGTAAAGTGTAGCGATGCTGTCGGAAGAACCATAGTCATTCTTCACCCAGTAAGGTCCTACAAACAGCTATGAAGTGAATGAGCAATTTATCTGGAGAATTGTTGGCCAAAACCAGGGGAAAAAAATCCTTTCTCTTGTTGAATAGTATAACATCTTACCTGGAGATCCAAAGAATGACATAATGCAGCACACTTCCAGTTCTGTGTGGGAGTGTCAGCCCAGTCTGTGAGTCTCAAGGTCCCAGTTGTGAAGCTTGAAATCGTAATATTCCAATCCAGAAACGATGGCACCATCACTTGAGCCAAGCTACATAGTTCCAGTAAAGGCAGCATCATTATGGTTCCTTGTCTTATCCAGAAGATAATTTTCCAGATGGTCATTATTCCCGATCTCTCTTTTAATCACCTTCCTCTGTGTTGAAACTATTTCATGTCTTCCATCCTATCCCATGTAGCAACTTGTATATCGTCATTTGTTTCCTCTTGATATTTTCAAGCATATTGATCTGGACTTTTTATTTACCTCAGAGAATAAAATAATACAAGATATATTAATCTTTAGGGATTACTGTCCAATCCCATTTTTGCAAAGCAGAAGATCAATCCTAAATAATAGCATTACAAGTATTTCCTGGACCCTATGCCTGAAGCTGGAGCCTCACATTCAATATACATTATTACAGAATTAGGCTTCTGTTTCTACATTGAAGCTATCATAATATTTGAGAAGTGGACCCAAGGCACAACTAAATGAGTCAACTACTGTGAGTTGCGATATTTGTTTTCCCACTAAAATTAGCAGTGGATCTCAGGATATTCCAAGGAGATTTTGTTTAATTGGACAAACCATTCTCTGGTGGTTTAGTGCAGTCAATAAACAATCTTAGTGGTGGTTATCTTAGCAGCATTGGAAATCCGCAATGTCAATATCTGATATCCAAAGATAAACACTCACACATATTTACTTTGGCACTAATACCACTAGTTTTTTTTCCAAAATGCAGCCTTTCTAAAATCCCTAACTACTGCAGTAAATCTTAATGATCATAATAAATTTGATTGATAAAACGGATCTCTTAGTTCCCTGTTTCCATCCTTCCTATCATATGAAAAGAGCTTATTGCTCACAAATAAATAATAAAATCAAGCTATAATTCCAGAATCATAGGAACCTTTTTATTATTAGATGACTCAAAGACGTGATAAGGCGCTACATCAAATGGAAGGTTTATTATTATTATCTGATGTAAATTAATGTTTTAGACAGTTATATTTAACAAGGTATATCTTGCACTACAATGTTACATAAATATTGGTATGTAAATATGCCTTTTTATAGCCTATATCACTTCAATCTAATTAAAATGTTCTACAATAGCAATAACCTTAGTTCTTTGGGAATGACCTTGGCAATAAATTATTTAATTGCTTTGTTTAAATTGTTTAACATCTAATGGTCAGATGAAGCATTTATTGTTTCATCATAATAGTTTGATGCTGCAGGATCATTGGTCAAGAAAAAAACATTTGTTTGTTCTTAAGTATCTGCCTAATTCAAAGACATGACAATTTGAGAAGCTGTAGAAATTAACAACCCATTGCAAACACAGCTGAGAAAACACTTTGAATACATTTGCACTCTTAAATTATGTCTTCTTAGCTATTTTCTTACACTGAACTGAAAGTGAATAGAAGCCATTACATATAAAATACACAACCAACAAAGAATTATTTAGAACTCACAAAGGTAACTGGAATGAGAAATGCACTCCTCGGCCTTGGATGGGAATGATTAAGGGTGAAAATTATAAATTCTGCTCCTTGCTCTGAATTGTTCCCAGATATACTGCATAAAAAAGATACAACTCATTCTTTGATTTTCTTTGCTTGGCATTTTCTTACGATGGTACTGATTGAGACAGATAGTTCACCATGTGGAAAATGGTAGTTAAAATATATTTATCCATTACTTTTCAGCAAATCAGTGGAGTTAGTAAAATATTTTAAACTTCTGTTGATTAAAAGGCATAATAGATCTTATGTGCATCACAATTAAATTGTATTTTGCACCAATAAACCCTTCTATGCACCATTATTATTCATTCTGGCAACTATTCCAGAGTCCTGTAGTATAGTGGTTAGCCGGCTTGCTTTGTGAGCAAGAAGACCTAGGTTTGATTGCTCAGCAGAGTGAAATCTTAGGCAAGAGTCCTTACTCCACATGCCTCTGTTTAACTAGCAGGAAGTAGGAACCTGGACGTCCTCCCGACGTGAAAGGTGCTCTATAAATGGAATCTTGTTGTTGTTGTAGATTGGCGGATCGCTTTCCAGGAGTAATAATAATAGTAATAATAATCCCTTCTAAATATGTAAATAATTTGGTAAGTCAATCCATGACTGTTTGT